TCTTCCTCGTCATCTTCGTCCTCCTCTTCCTCCTTCTTTTTCTTGCTTTTCTCGGCCTTGACGACTCCCTTTTTGGCAGCATCGGGCTTCCCTTTAGCCCGGTACGCGGCGATATCCTTAGGATGGGAGGGAAGATGGCAGAGAGGGGGGAAACACATAAATCACATAACTTAAGAGCCCACTTTATTCCCAAAGCCCACCCCCCATGCTGTAGACCCCAATAACCAGGACTTTCGAGGATCACATAAAAACACAAAGGTAAATTAATTAGCAACTCCCCACTTGTGGAACGGCGAGGTCGAGTATTTGCCAGGTTCTGCCTCGTTGAAGTGCAATTACCCACTACAGCCCTACTGCGGTCTACTACAACCAGAAAGCAGGGCTTTGATGAACGGGTAAACACTGCCACCTTCTGAATGCAAAAAAGCAATCTACAGGTCTGCAGTGCCAGCCTGCAATCTCTAAGAGTTTTGTAAAAGCATCTTCAGGAAAACGAAAAAGTATCTGCCAGGCACCACGACATAAAGAAGCACCCGGAAAGGAAATGCATGGCTAGAAACAAGACTTCAGGTTAAAAGCTACATTTTCACAGCCAAGCCCAAGGAGAGGCTCCAGCCCCCGCCGCTAATATATCGGATAGCTCAAGATAGTGGAAAACCTGCGACTCGGGAAAGCTACCACCCCGCTTCACCATTCAGATGCATTTCAGTCAAAGCAACTCTCAAAAACCCCATCTTGTACAGAGCCTAGAGTACAGTAAATTGGAAGTATTAACAATGTATTGGGTCTGTAGCCTCCGAAAGAAGGTGATTAAAGGCCATAGTAAAAATTACATACAAGGAAGACATTTAACTGTGTTCGTAAAGAATATCCCCATCTCAAACCCTTCAAGCACATAACTGCGGAATTTTAAGGGGGTGACAAGGCCAACTAGTTGACGTGCCTCTCCATCACCCTACCAAGCCAAACCTGTGTGCGATGCCTCTCACCTTTTCATATTTCTCCTTCAGCTTGGCGGCCTTCTTCTCGTAAGGCTGCTTGTCATCGGCCGCAGTGTTATTCCACATCTCTCCCAACTTCTTCGCAACGTCCCCGATGGACAGGCCAGGGTGCTCGCCTTTGATTTTGGGGCGATACTCAGAGCAGAACAAGAAAAAGGCCGAA